AAAAAAAAAAAAAAAAAAAAATTGCTGTGTTAAAAAAAACACCCTCAAATTGAGGGTCTTGAAAAACCAATGGTTTATTATTCCCCAGAAGTCCGTGGGTTCCCTGGGTGGATGTGTGCTGGTCTCACCTGGCTTTGTGAACTATAGTTCAGTGGCAGGTGGAGCAGCTGGCTGGAAGAGGATGGCCTCACTCATATGGCTGGTGTTAGCTTGGGCTGTTGACTGGGCTTCCCCTCCATGGGGGCCCTCTTCCTCCATTAGGTTAGCCTGGGCTTCTTAAAGCAAATGGTCTCAGGGCAACAGGAGAGTAAGTGCAGAAGCTGCAGGGACCTCCGAGGTCCATATCGCTTCCCCCACATTCTGTTGGTCAAAGCAAGTCACATGGCCAAGCCTGTGTGAGAAGTAGAGACATGAACTTCACTTCATCACGAAAGGAGCAGCAAAGTCACATTGCAAAATGGGCGTGCACACAGGGAGGCGTGATCGTGGCCATCTTTGCAATCAATCATCACTAAGAAATCTCCTATCAGGTCCTGGCCTTCCAGGTTCCCTTGGGAACCCAGAGTAACCCCTTTTCATCAGACTCCCTGTGTTCATCCCACCAGGTGGCCTGGCTGCTGTGATCTACACGGATGCGCTGCAGACACTGATCATGCTTATAGGAGCGCTCACCTTGATGGGCTACAGTAAGTGGGGTCCCCGGGTCACTTGGGTGGATGACAGCCCCTCTCTCCAGCAGGGATATCTGCTCTCAACACAGTGAATGGCAAACCCAGCTGTCAAAGAGCAGACTGCTGGGGAATTTTTGTCAGAGGTGCTTGGCTTGAGGCACGGTTATTTTAGCTAGAAGAGAACTGTGCTTATTGTGGAAACTTACTGTTTTTGTTTTCATTTTTTTTGTTTTGAGACAGGGTCTTGCTCTGTCAGTCAGGCTGGAGTGCAGTGGTGCGATCATAGCTTGCTGCAGCCTTGAGCTCCCGGGCTCAAGTGACTCTCCCACCTCAGCCTCCTGAGTAGCTGGGACTACAGGTGTAGGCCATTATGTCCAGCTAATTGTTTTTTCCTGTTTTTTTGTAGAGATAGAGTCTCACTATGTTGCCCAGGCTGATCTCAAACTCTTGATCTCAGGTGATCCTCCTGCCTCAGCCTCCCAAAGCCGCCCCACCTGGCACTGTTTTTTTTTTAAGTAAAAGTTAATATCTTTCTATACTAATATGGAAAAATAACTGAGTGAATAAAGAAAAGAATGTGAAGAGACAGCTTTTCCTTACAGAGGTTTTTGTTGTTATTTGTTTGTTTGTTTTGAGACAGGATCTCACTCCGCCACCTAGGCTGAAGTGCAGTGACAATCTTGGCTCACTGCAACCGCTACCTCCTGGGCTTAAGAGATCCTCCCACCTCAGCCTCCCAAGTAGCTGGGCCCACAGGTGTGTACCACCACTCCCGGCTAATTTTTTTTTCATTTTTTTTAATAGATGGGGTTTCACCATGTTGCCCAGGTTGGTTTCAAACTCCTGAGCTCAAGCAATCCACCTGCCTTGGCCTCCCAAAGTGCTGAAATTACAGGCATGAGCCACCGCATGCAGCCTACAGAAGCTTTAAACTCTAGCACTAGCCCACACCTAGACTTTAGCAATTCGTTTCAAAATATTTGCCCAATTCTTCGTACCAGCTTGTATGGTGATCCTGTCTTTCTTTGTTTTGCTGCCAATGGTCATGTCTCTTTGGAGGCTCCTGTGTTTTCTGAGATCTCAGGCCAGTTGGTTGCTCTATGTCCTCACCTCTCTGATAGGTTCAAGGGAAGTTATAATTTTGTAGATTAGCCAACTTCTTATTATTGTTAAGGGGGGGGAACACTACTCTTCACAGGTTTCTATCTTTTAGAGGTAAGCCACTCATTAAGCCTTAAAGACTACAACAAAAGCCGAGTGTGGTGGTTCACACCTGTAATCCCAGCACTTTGGGAGGCCAAAGCAAGAAGATCACTTGAGCTCAGGAGTTTGAGACCAGCCTGAGCAACCTAGTGAGACTGTGTCTCTACAAAAAATAAACATAAACTTAGCCGGGTGTGGTGACATGTGCCTGTAGTCCCAGCTACTTGACAGGCTGAGGTGGGAGGATGGCTTGAGCCTGGAAGGTTGAGGCTGCAGTGAGCTGAGATTGTACCACTACACTCCAGCCTGGCCAACAAAGCGAGACCCTGTCTCAAAAAAAAAAAAAAAAAAAGAAAAAGGCTATGAAAACTAATATAGAAAACACAGAAAAGCAAAAGGGATCATAATCCTGAAAGATGGCAGAATATAGTGCTGAAAATTATATATTTTAGGACTCAGAAGAAAATATTAGAAGAGCGCCATGCTTGGAATCCTGAACTCTATGAAACATGTATGAAAGATAGAAGTAGAGGACAAACTGAGATGAAGGGAGAATAGAAGCGGATAAAAAGGAAAAAGATTAGAGAAGATTACAACACATTTTCTAAAATTTTCTTTAAAAATTAGCAGAATTAAACTCCCCACAGGAGGATGTAAAGAGCAGAACAAACGCTAAAGAAAATCAAACCCAGGATGAAAACAAATAGGAGTTTTGTGTTTTTTTTAGACGGAGTCTTGCTCTGTCACCAGGCTGGAGTGCAGTGGCATGATCTTGGCTCACTGCAACCTCCACCTTCCAGGTTTAAGCGATTCTCCTGCCTCAGCTTCCCGAGTAGCTGGGACTACAGACATGCGCCACCACGCCCAGCTAATGGGGTTTCACCATGTTCGCAGGGATGGTCTCAATCTCTTGACCTCGTCATCTGCTGGCCTCAGCCTCCCAAAGTGCTGGGATTACAGGCGTGAGCCACCGCGCCCGGCTGAAAATAAGTAGGAGTTCTAATAAAATGCAGAGAAAAGGGATAAATAATAAAATTATAAAAGAAAAGATGACAAATATGGAAGACAGAGAGGAGAGATATACCATTTGAGAAATGTTTATTCTTTTTCTTTTTTCTGTTTTTTTTTTTTTCTGAGAAATGTTTATTCTTAGAAAAAAGATCAGAAAAAAATGAAACAAAGTAAATAATTAAATTAATCACAAAGGAAAACCTTTCTTAGAAGGAGGATGATATATCTAGCTAGGTGTAAAGGGTTTGCTGTGTCTTAGGCAAAATCAATGAATGAGATCTCCAGGTAGAAGCATTATAAACAAAAT